AATAATAATAATGATAAAAGAATATACAAAATATGTGATGCACAGTGCAATTGCTCACCACCTGCCAACCGGTGCCCAGCCAGTCCCTGGGCAGCGGTCACTGCCCCCCAGCCAACTCCCCCGTTTCTGTACTGAGCATGACGGCACATGGTATGGAATATCCCTTTGGCCAGTTGGGGTCAGCTGTCCTGGCTGTGCCCCCTCCCAGCTTCTCACTGGCAGGGCATGGGAAGCTGAAAAGTCCTTGACTAGTGTAAGCACTGCTTAGCAACAACTAAAACATTGGTGCGTTATCAACGTTATTCTCATCCTAAATCCAAAACACAGCACTGTACCAGCTACTAGGAAGAAAATTAACTCTATCCCAGCCAAAATCAGGACAAGGACACATAAAACCCTCATGTATTTTGATGCTTCTTAGCTATAGTGTCATGACGAAGACATGAGAGGAGATATAAAAAAAACCACCACCCCAAACAAGAAAACCCTAATGCGCAGCAAGTATATGCACAAATACTAGGACACGTCTAGAGTTTCTGTGTCAGCCTCTTGCCTTCCGAAGTTGAAAGTCGCTTCCTTCCTAAGCAGTTTGATGAAACAGCTAGTGTCAATCTAGGACAAGGGCTCACAGCTGCATCTCACTGTTAGTAGTCTACCAAGGTCCCTTCTGGTCATTCCCAGGGTCCAAAAGCACAAGGTATACACATGCAATAAACACATTCTTTTAATCATTCAGTAGAATTAACAGCCTGTGTGAGCAGTGATGACTGCAATCATATTTAAAGATGCAAAACATCTCTAAAAGGTGTTTTACCTTTTTGTTTTTAATACACTATTAAGTGTGAAACTAGAAGAGGAACATAAATAGGACATTAGTGAAACAGTATGTAACACAAATGATTGAGAGTTCCTTTGGGGGGAAAAGGCCATGATATCTACCAAAAAGCCAGCTTAAGTGGAATTGAAAGCTTGCTCCCTGTGTGTGCGCACACATGTGTGCATGCATACGCATACGGAAACCTGCAAGACTGTCTTTTGAGATAACAAAGAATGCCCACCTGCATGTGAAGTGAAGAGCTTTTATTTCTGAACATGAGGTGAGGCTACGAGAAGAGTAATGGAGAAGACTCCTTTAGGGTCTTGACCTACATTCAAGGGTCAGCAATTCCTAGTTCAGCAATTCCTAGTTTTATAACTGTTGTACCACTTCCCGTTCTTCTGGAATCTGAAATGAATCCTGAACATGCCTCTGAATCACCAGGTGGGCGTTTCAGATGCTCCAAAACAACTCAGAGCCATCGCAAGAAAGCACTGACAGTAGTCCAAGTATTGTGACAGTCTGTCACAAAATTGTCACCCACACATACAGAAACTAGAAACTCTTTTTCCTCCCTTACAGTTTTTTTATGGATTTTACCAAAAGAAATTATATCATCATTCTTAGTATATTTATTGAAAACAAGTGATAACAGTTTGTGGCAAAGCCAGTTTATTAGGTTTCTGGGATTGTGTCTTGCCCTCCCCCCAGCACATACAAAATAACCCAACTTTACAATTTGGTAAAGTGAAAATACATATACAAAGTATTCAGTACTTTTGACATCAATTTTGTGGGCAGAACATTACCACTGAAAGCCAGGAAGGGCACTGAACCCTGTGTTAATGACCACATTACCTTTACGGCAGAACCATTAAAACATGCTTTGTGCTGAAGACGAAATCACATACTTAAACACTGTTTCCACACAACTTTAATGACATGAGGGCCCTTATTTACAGGTTTCGAATAACTCAAATAAAGCTTAACAGATTTGCAGATGTTTGATATAAAATTTAACAGTAACATTTTAGCTACATAATTTCCTTATCTCAACCCCCAACCTGACTGACTGACTTTGGAATTCTTCATTCTGGTTTTATTTATTAAAAAAAAAAAAAAAAGTTTGTTGACATACTTATGCAAATACTTAAGATGGGTTCTTTTAAGAAAAAGGATTAAGGACATGAGTGAAAAACAAATTGTCCAAGAGGACTGTAAATATTTACTATTTACAATAGTATACACATAAATTTAAGTTTTTCTTAAAAAATATCATTAAGGACACTAGTGTTAAAAAGCTGATTGTTTCTGAAAGGACTGTAAACCAAATTAGTCATGTAATCATTAAGGACACTAGTGTTAAAAAGCTGATTGTTTCTGAAAGGACTGTAAACCAAATTCTAGTCATGTAAGGTTCAGAGTGAATACAGTTCCCTTTTACAAATGTTTCCTAAACAAAATTACTGCCACAGTTGTACCAGCTTTATAGAGGGAAAAAAGATTACCTTTTGTTTAGATACTTTTTAAACTTCTTAATCATATTAGACCAAGCTGAATGCCCTTTCTAAATCTAGAAAAAAGTCAACACATTTTTCTTTTGTCAGTATAACTTGCCATGGAATTGCATCTCATTAATTGTAATAGTTTAAATAATATTAGTTATCGTGCTTCAATTACTTGTTTCTAATGTGATCACTAGGGTGGCAGCTTCTGAACTGGCCCTTCCGTTTAGTTTCCAGTCAGCATCACATGCTACACATTGCAAATCAAAAGTCTTCATTTTTACTTCAATTCCTTAAAAAACTAAGTCACAAAACATTGTTTGACATGGCATCCGAATGAAGTCATAGATTGCATTCTATGGCTTACATTTCGCTTTATGTAATTACGTGCAACCTAGCACCATTTTTGTTATGAAACTTGACCTTCAGACAGAGCTGAGATAAGATGGTTGCAATGATGAGAACACAGAAGAAGATGGTTCTAGAGGAGTAATTTCCCTCACCTGACCCACCACTAACTCACATTAGTAATGCCAAGGATGCCCAACATACAGCCACGACATAACACAAGCAGGTTTTAGCTCAAAAATCTGTAACAGATTATGTATTTGGCAGATTTTCTCCATATTTCAAGATCTAGTTTATTTTGTATTCAGAAGTATTTTAAGGAAGTCCCATATTCCTAGCATTTTGTCCTAAGCATTTCCATCCCTCAAATACGTTATCAAATTAGTCATAGAAAGCTTTTTCAAGACATTTGAAAAGGATTCATCATCACTAAAATCCTCCAAAACCCCTACCTTTGAAAACCAGTATACTTTTGCCAACTTCAATCTTTTATTTACTTAAGTGTTTTTACTTACCCTGGGACACTCAACTCAAATACAGCATCTTTAGAAGTAAGTCCTCGTTGAAGTTTTAGTAAGGTCAGAGAAGTTATGGACAGTTATAGTCCCAAATTTACCCCAAATCCTGTGCTACAGTACTTTCCATAAGGAATGCATAGTTTAGTTTTACATGCTAATTATGAAAAATTAATAAAGTTTTAAGTATCAAATTATTGTCTAGAGGTAGGGACAAGTTTGTCAATTCTCTTACCATTGCCATGAAGAAACAGACAAAGTTTACAGTGGAGTGACAGGCCAAAAGCTAGCAGTTTGCACCCACACTGACAGCCCAAACTTTATCTGACAGTCCTGGTTTTTGTTTTTTAAATAAAAAGGTACTTGCTTAGCAATTTGCTAGCGGTCACCAAATATTCCTTCATATACCAAAAATCTCCCCACTCGCTGACCCAAAAATCAAGCTATCTGTCACAAAACACTTTTTCTCCTACATTATTCCAATGCAAGTAGCAACCAAAAATGTTAGTAAACTGGCTCACGATTTATAACCTTACCACAAGTGACGAAAACAATCTCAGGCAGCAAGAGCTCAAGTAGAATTGCTTTGTCAAAACTTCACTTGAAAGTTTACTTTCCCGTATATTTATAGTGAAACTTCAGTAATTCAGAAAGTACAATTACAAAGTGCAAGAACATGAGATGGGCACATCTACACCAGGAAAAAAAAAAACCACATTAAAGTGCCAAAGAGATCCACTATAATTGCTACCAAAACCTGGAACTTTGCCAAGATCATAATTTTGAAGCGTTTGCAAACAAGACAAGGTGATAGCTGATAATAGTATGATTTAACACCAGCAGGTCATGGCAGGTTTTGGTTCAGGCTTTATATGTATTTCATCGCGATCTGGGGGTTGACTAAGCATTAATGGCTTGTGACTTTTAAGCTTGTGAGCCAGTGTCATAAATATGGCCTCCACGTGGTCATTGTCATTGGGGTTTTTGGCAGAGGTTTCAAATAACGGCATACTGTGAGTATCAGCAAACTTCTGGGCCAAGTCCGTAGGTACCTGAATAGCACTCCTCAGGTCACATTTATTTCCAACAAGAATCCGTGGTATATCATTGGCAAGAAGGTGTTGTTTGCATTCCTCTATCCATGATGGCAGACTGTGAAAACTGGCAATGTTTGTCATATCATATACAAACACAACAGCATGTACATTCCTGTAATAGTGCTGCACCATGCTCTTTCTGAAGCGCTCCTGGCCTGCTGTATCCCATAGCTGGATCTGAAAAGGGAAAGACAATGAGAGAAAAAAAAAGTTTTATTACTCATGTTGGAAAATAATACAAATTACCTCTAGCTAGGGAAGTCACACGATCACAGAAATCCACTCTTCTCAATTAATCATACTGAAGAGTTTGTGCTGAAGAAAAGTTGATTTTACACAATTTAAGAAACTTTTGCTTTCAAAGCTGCTCACAATTGAAGCCAGGAAGAAATGATGATGCAACCTGATCGCAAATATGAATTTCTGAAAGTTTTATTGGAGCATGTATTTTGTAAGATTTTAAAAAAAACAAATCCTGAAGTCTTGGCAATAGCACTTTAATTTGAAAAAACAGCATGTATTTCACAGCACAACTCTCGGCTGACATGATTTTTTTACTGCCAAAAATAACGTCATTTTCCCCAAAGTTTTGTTCTTCGCATGAAGTTAACTGCCTATTGTGGTACTATATAAAAGTAGGAAGAAATCAAACCATGCATGAATAACACCACCAACAACAAAAACAGGACAAAGAAATCTTTCTCTGCAGTGTATCTATTGGAATCAAACCCTCCTGTGATGAACCTCTAACTTAAGCTTATGTAATGCTTAAGCTAGGATTGTACTGTGGTTTGTAGTATCAAAGCACGCGTAAAAGGGGAAAAAAAAAAAAAAGCATAAACCTCCTGTTAGCTTAACATGGTACTATTGTTTCCAGGTGCGCATCATTCTACCCCAACAGACTGAACATATTTGTTTGAAGCCTAGTCAGTGTAACAGGCAAAACCCCAAACATTCAGAAGAACTGAAATGCTTTCAAACTTCTTGGGTCCAGATTAAAACAAAACAAAACAAGCCTTGAAACACAAGCAGATGTAAGCAACAACTAAAAAAAAATCTTAAATGCACAATCATCCTAGTATAATGGAAGCCTGGAGTCCTCAGATGGGTAGAGTACGCTCCAGAGTTGTGCACTTATTGGACACTGATATTTTAACAAACTTGCCCTCCAGGAGACATGCGACTGCAATATACAGCAGTCAGAGCCAGTTCACCTACAATGATGAATTAACTGTACGCTGTAAGAGAAACTAGTGCATGGCTGTATCACACACACCTTAGTGATGGTGTTAACACTGAAAGACAACATTTGGTTTCTTGGGTCAAAGCTGATTCCTAGTTTCCTGTCTGTCCTGTACAGCTGATCCCTGACGGCTGATGCAGTTTGATTAGTACTTCAGCTTTTAACTTTTGAGCAGGAAATGTCAGAAAGAAATATTTCCTCCCTGGGAATGAAAGGAGAGGTTTTCTTCAGACTCGGAATTCAAGTAATATTAAGTGTTCTGTAAACGATGAAGGTAAATTTAAAACTCAATCTGTTTCCAGGAAAGGTACAGCTCGTATCTTCTCTTGATGAAATTGTTCTCCTATTACCATAGTTCTGCATTCCTTTGATCCAAATGTTTCAGTAAAGCTTATTTAGATATTGCTAGTGTCTTGAAAGTTGCCTTGTTTACCATTTTTACCAGTGAGTTTGATATCAAAAGAAAAGGAAACCCAAGTGCCAGGGAAATTTGGTGATGGCAAGAAGCTAAGATGCATCACTGACAGAGGAGGATTACAGTGCCACATAAATTTTTTTTTGAAAGCTGGAACAGTAGAAATAGGGTGAAACTGAATAGAAGCAGATGCAAAGTCTTGATAACAGTGACTAATAATAAAGACTTTTCCTATAACTGCAGGATTCGTCAGTTTGGAAATTATTAAAACAGATGACGATCCAGATACACGAGTCAATCACAGGACATTATGAATCACTAGTGTGATAGAGTGAAGGAAAAAGTGTAAGGATGGTGTGACTTTTTCTGCAGTATTATGTTCAATCCTGGTCACCCATCCTCGAGAAAAACTCAGATTAGAGGAGGTGGAAATGGCAGTTATGGGTTTCATCAGGGGAGCTGAGAATTCACATGAGAACATCAGAACAGCTAGTAGTAGTTAGTAGTAGCTAGTGTAGTCTAGTCCAGTTATCTGCAGCTTCTGATCCACAGACTTATAAAGATCCACATGCTGCTTCTAAAAGGGTCATTAAGATTATTAAAAGCAAGGCAAGTCACCCTAGCCTCTGATCGCAGAAAACGGTAGTCAGTTGCAATCCATCTCATTTTAGAGCAAATACCCGCTTTTTGCCAACAGTATTACACTCCAAACACAACTGACTGCATCTCCAAGGTTTGTTAAGGGAGTCTAGACAATCAGATTAAATGTAGGCACCTAAGTTTGGGTAAGATTCATTCACCTACCCAGATGACACATACTTCTAGGTCTATACACTTATAAAACATTATAAAGTCAGGAGACTCATTGAAAATTTTCATTAATTTGGAATTTGACAAATTAAAGAGAGAAGAAAGAAGCACAGACCAAAGTAATCCTTGTGTTCGGACAACATAATGTTAAGGAATCACTACAGATGATCTTGGAAAATGCTGTAGCAAATTAATTTAAAGAGGGAGCTCATTTTCACAGGCAGCTGTGAGCTTACACTTCTCTCCCCACCTCATTCACAGAGCAGAAATCAGTCATGCTTCAGTCAAGCACAGATCCGCAAGTGTACTGCCAGCCTTGGGTAGAGAAGGGGAAATGAAATTAAAGGTTTACATATCTTCCAAGTTAAGCTTAAACTACAGTTCCTCCTAAATTTTATTTACATGCAGCTTTCAAGCTTGAAGTGTATTATCTGAAATTAAGTATGTTAATATTCTTGGCATGGAATCATTTGCACTGAGAGGCAAATCCTTCCTCAAGATTGAAAATTTCACACTTTAGAAGTTTCTCTTTTCCTCTTACAAGGTGAGCTTGAGGAGACCGTTCCATTTCTGCCCCCCCCGGCAATATTTGCTCTACTGAAAAACAACACTGAAAATGTTCACGTTAATAGATGTGCATTGATGAATTAACATTAAGACTACTGTTTCATTATTAGTTCAAAACCATCCATCTTCACGGGAGCACATTTTTTATAATAGCCCTTTAAAATGTGTGATTTGAAAATTTGGTTTAACAGCATAATTCAGCTAATAAAACTGTGGACAGAATCACTTTGTCACACTCCCTAGGAAAGACAAATGGTACTTAAATGTATTGACTCAGCTATCACCTCCCACCTTCCGACTCCTTTTTGTGGATGCAGAAAGGCTGTTTTCTAAGCAAGGACTCCCTTAGCATGCATGGTTTATAACACGCTGGTAAAAACATAACTAGCCTTTAATAAAGATAAAATGGTAAACTATGGCTCCTTTTACAAGATGTGGGAAAAAAACCTTGAAGAGCTCAAAGGTATAGAACATGATGTTTGGACTTTCTTCTTTGAATTTCATTTGCATCCTTTGCTCTTTTAATGTAGGTCAGTAAAGAGTGATATCATTGTTTTCTTTGATTTTCAATGCTTAGATCAATTTAGGAAGAGGAAAATTTAGAATGCAAAAAATTCATGTGTTGAAGATTTTCACTTATTCATCACGTCTAGGCATCGGTGTTTCATACGAAGCTGTTAGCCTTCTGTACAGCTACAGCTGTACAAGCTACAAAGGAATACACTTGTCTTGGAATTCTACACAATTCCTGTGTGGGAGACCCCCGGCGAGAAGAACTGCGCTTGTGTTCCTACCAATGACACAGCATTTTTCCAGCTGCGAGGGAAATGCTCAGTACTGTAGCAGCACAAGAATGACCATCCAGCTGGCTGGGGGAAGGGAGAAGAGAAAAGAGAAGACACTACTTAATAATCTCCTTCAACGCAAGAGGAAAAATTCCTCTGCTCAGCAAGCCCTTCAGGGCACAGCAAGAACAGCAGTAATTCGGTTCATCTGAGCTTCTCTCTTTCCTGATTCAACAGGCATTGCTGGGAGCTCACTGCTACAAGCAAGAAAGGTGAAGATGAGGGAAAGGAGGTGGCAAAACCCAAAAATTGGTGCATACTTGACAACACACAGCATTCCCCTAAGAGCTAGAGTCTTGGCCATAATGGTAAAGTTTATTCCTTTTAAAGCTGAAGCAGAACTTCCCAGAAAACAACGTACCTCAAAAGAGCCTCCTTCAGTTCTCCACCTCTCTCAACCAGAACTTGCATATTCAACAGGTAATATTCTCAAGAACGCAGCAAAACAACCTACCACAACGTATATAACAAAATGGCACGATAACCTATGTGAAGCATCTCGGAACTGTGGATTAGGCTATACTCTTCTTCACTGCTCTCCAACAAAGGCCGGGCATAATCCAGAGGTGGTGAAAATGCCAGTCAGTAAGATGGTGCTGACACGAAGATACCCCTCAGGAGGTTCTCTCCTCCATTGTGGACAGCAACAGACCAGGGAGTACAGAATCGCAGCTATCAGCCAAAGAGCTATTCAGTGGTTTTATGAAGAAAAAGAGTAACAAAGACTCTTACTCATTTTTCTTTTTTAGTTAAAAAGAAGGATATGAGGTGAAAGAAACTCAAGAGAAGGAAAGCAAATGGACTTATATGCCCTCCGCAATTTCTTTAATAAGTAAGCAAGCAAGGAAAAACTATAGCTTTCAGCTACATAACTGTAAGCTGTAATTACAAAGCCTGGTGATAATAAATGCAAAAGTACAATTCCAAGACTACTGTTACTCCCTTTTCCTACACATTATTAAACTTTGCTCATAGAAGCAAACTGTAATACAGAAGCAGAAGGGGATTCTGTTTAAAACCGTGTACTCCTAGTAAACAAACTGCATTTGTAAGCAGCTAGTAGTCTAATCTGCAAATGACTGTTAGGATCACCACCAGCATTTATGTATCTACTGGGCAGACCAGGTGTCTTTCAAATGCTTTTAAAATTTGCTTTACAGTGCAAAGAAGGTAAAAGAGCATTTTTTCCTCCCATCCAATTTTTCACTAAATTTAGTTTTGTAAGACTACACTTTAGCTAAACCTATAATCAGAGTAAAAACCAACAGTCAGATGTGAGCTAGGTATCCAACCTGTCACTGTCCAGTTCTGTGCCACATTTGCCTAAACATGCAGCAATCTTAACAGAATCCTAAAAAAAAAGTATTAAAAGTTGCAACACATTGCTGTCACTGATGAAGCAGTTCACTCCTGAACAATGTTTACTTTCTTAATGGGACCTTTTTAAAGCAAAATGCTCGTAACAGTGGCATCTGCATAGCTTTGTGGACTTGAAGGTTAAGCCAATCATCCTTGATAAACACAGAAGTAGAATCTCTGGGACGCAACAAGCTGCTGATACCAGGCACAGCTAACACTAAAATACTGGTAAGTAAGAGATCTACCTAGAAGTCCATTTTAAGGAGAAATTATTGATTAACACCTGCCAAAAGCTGCGCAAGGGTTTGGCCTACAGTAGGAATTTTTCATCGGCATG